ATCAGACGAGCTTGTAGTGCACAACATTGTTGTATACTTTTCATTCCAGTCATCTTGACTCGGCTTGATATAATGTCAGAGCAAATGCTGCACTACCTTGCTCATCTGCTATGCCTGGATATTGGACTCAGGGTGATTAATTGATGTCATCTGTAATTGGGTTCCCATCTATTTGGCGGTACTTTGCCATAGATCGCCAGTGAATCTGACATCCCTATCCCTAGTCACGTACGCAATTATCCATAAGTAGCTTTATTACCTGGTCAATCTTAGCGGTCTCAGGCATGGCAATCGGTCTAGCGTACTTACTAAATCTGTCCACGATGACGAAGATGTGTTGTTTGCCGCTCTTGCTGGTGACGAGAGTATCCATGAAGTCCATGGACACACTCTGACCAGTACCAATAGGGATAGGCAAGGGTGTTATTAACCCAAGTGGTGCATGCGTCCTTGGTTTGTCACGCTGACAAACGTGACATGTTTCAACATACTTCTTCGCATCGTCTAGCATTGTGGGCCACCAAAACCGTTGCACTAAATTAGCTGACGTTTTCTTGAACCCGAAACGACTGGTTGCGTTGTGACACTCACCTAAAAATAAACTGCGCAAAGACTCACTAGACAGAACACACAATCTTTTATTCCCAACCTTCTCGAGGAACAACAAACCCTCCACGTGCATAGCACTATCGACATGACTCCCAACCATCTGCATCTTGGTAGGAAGCCCAACCATGCTCTTGACTTCCTGTTGCATGAGAACCAGCCCACAGCAGCCGTTGGCAACATTGAATTTGTTGTCAAGTACGAGAAGATGCTGCAGCAGGTTGTAGAACAAATTGGAAAAGCTCAAGGTGCTATGGTAGCATCCAAGAACAAGCACAAACGACCATCTGCGTTTCAAGTAGGTGAAAGAATGTGGGTAAAGTCATTTGAGTTAGGATAGGAATTGGGAATATATAGAAAGGCTCATGTTGTACATCGGGCCCTGGGAAGTTTTGGATATTCCATATCGACCTTCCTATGCATTCATATCCCTGTTTTCCATGTCTCCAAAGTGTAGAACAGACTGGGAATATCTATTCACATATCCTGTTTTCCATGCCTCCAAACTGGCTCTTTTTGTTGAGACCGACAAGTTTTCGTCAAGGAGATCTATGCTGCCCACAACCATGGGCGGACACGTCAACATTGATGACATCATCGAGCACAAGGTAATGCCTGTACCAAAGCCTCCAGGCAGGGGTCAAATCTCCAAAACCACAGATGCCGTATCGAGTGCGGTTTAGACATCACGTTGATCCTAAGGTAGATTGGTGGTTTACGAGAGAAAAATTGATGAAGACTGCTCCACATGTTATTTTTGAATATGAAAGAAGATTGAAAGGGGAGAAGCCTGCTTATTGAAGACTTCTCAGAGGACTATTGAAGTAATGGAGGAGGGAGTGTGAGGATTTGAGCCCTTGGCATGCCCATATGGGCCCCCACCTGCAAGCTATCTGCCTGCCGTAAGTGAAGGTGGGTCCTGTATCTCAAAGGGGTTTGAATATTGCAAAATTTGCCAGCCTTAGTTGGCGCCAGACAGTTGCCACGAGCCAGTTGGTTACATGTGTCCTGCTTGCGAGCATCAAAATCTTCCGTGAGCCTTCTAGGCTCTTCTACTCGAGACTTGGAAGCTGGCCTCTCGACCAATCAGGGAACATCTCATTGTGCGTGAGGTGGTTGGGTGGCCTAACTGCTGCGGGCCCGGTCCACTGTCTAAACGAGCTTGGGTGTAAATACTTTGGCCCAATGTGAAGCTATTGGGCACGCGCACATCGCAGTCCAAGCAGCCATCGTGTCTAGCCACTTTCCATTTAGGAAAGAACCAGGCTACGAGGGACTCATTCCGACACTCGCATGTTGGGCGACAAAGCTGCCGGATAGCGCATCGAAGGCTGCTAGCGAGTTGTGCTTGTGTGCACGAGGGCGCCGATTGAAGTGAGGGTGCTAGTGAGCAGCGCCACAAACCAGACAACCGTAGTTAGACCTGGGCACACATAGCTGGGGGAGTATTGGCGGTGGTCCTTGGGGATAGAAGGAGCATGGAGGTGAGACAAGGGTGAGCATTGAGAGGGCGAGTTGGAGAGGTAATGTGAGAGCACATACTGGGTCCTGGCAGAGGTCTACGTGGTCGACATCTGCATGTACTTCGGTTGCTGTTGTTGACGTCAAGTGGTTGTTTTGTCATTATGATATGCTAGTGTAATAGCTGTAGGATCGTAGTCTGGGCGATGAGCGCCATAAGGAGAAAGAGTTACGAGTACATAGTTGGTGGTGACTTTCAATGTGATTTTGCAATCCAGAATTTTGTCATTTCGCTATTGCTCATTATTCCTTGCTTATGCGTTTTACCCTTAAACAACCAGTACACGGCCCCAACCTTGCTGAAAAGAAAGCTCGTCGCCTACGAAAATTTTGGAGTCCCAGTGTCGTAGATAAATTGAATCGGCGGCGGGCGACCTTCGAAAAGGGCCCGCGATCGATAGCTGGATGTATTGGTGGCTTAAACGAACTCGAAAGGATGTCAAAGGAAATGCATGGTCGACTCGGGAGTTCGAACCCAAGGTCTATGAAGCCACGCGGGTGGCGTGATTCACACTTATTAGATCTCCGGTAGGTAGATCGAAAAGGTTTATTCAGCCACATGGGCTGGGTAACAGTTTTTTTCCACATTGGCTACGTGTTTTTCTTTTTTAACTGAACGTAAAATCTTAGTTTACGATTTATTTTTTAAATCAGGCAAATTTTTATTTTTTCCAGTTTCCTATACATGCATGCGTATGAGTAAAAATAGGCACTCGTTCCTTTTTACCTTCACTAACCGGTCTCACATAAGCAACAAACACCTGTTCAACAAGGTCATTCTTGACCACAAGCTGGGCGAACGCGGGGCCACTCATACAACAAAAGGACAAACTACTGTCCACGTCGGACGCATGATATAAATGCGACCTTTTCTTTCCTCCTGTGGGCCTGGGCAGCCAGCACTCGTGCTCGCCCATCTTGATATCAACATACGCGACATTGCCTTAGTCTGTTCCTAATATCATGTCAAAAGGAAGGCTTTCCTCCACTAAGAGTGTCAGGGAATGCATAATTTTTTCTACTTTGCCCACTGCCTCCAACCGGAAGTATGCCTTAACCCCTTCAACATACTCGTATACTATCATCTTCTATTATCGACCAATTTACTAATGACCGACTCACTTCTTCACTTTCATACCTAGGTGCATCTTTTGCAACCCTCTTCGACTTATATAAGTGTGTGTTGACCCACTGTTTACTAACACACCTATTCTATTTGTACTCACCTCTACATCGGCCCAAGCGCGGCGATGAGTGATCAGTTCATCACCAATGCTTGCGAGGGAGCCACCTAGAGAGATCCTAACACAAGCAACGTCTAAACAACTAGCTAGGTGGGGGCTTACATCAGTCCCTACCATTGGGATCTTCAGACAGGAGGGTGCATTTTCAGCACGCGCTTCTATCTTCTTTTCTGAGTCCAAAGTCCTTGTAGAGGCAACTGCGACCTCAGCTGTTCCCTTTTGGGTATATGTATTTTGGACAGAAGGGAACTATGTGGTCGGGGCTACCACATTTAAAACATTGGTGGGCCTTACAACCGTTTTCCCAAAGATCCTCGTCTATACCCATCTCTTCCCAAGGTTTGCCTGCAGCTATCCCCGGGTGTGCTGGGTACGACCGCCAATTTCTGCCTCTACGTCTACCCCTTTTGAAGGGAGAACCTCTACCACGTTGCAAGGGATTATAACCCCTACCTCCCACGTAGTAGCTTCCTTTGCCACTACCCCTCTGGGCAGCGGGTCCTCGACCTCCACCTCGTTCTCGGCCTCCTTTACCTTGTCGCCCTCCCCCACGGGCTGCAACCACCGCATAGTCCCCTCCCTGGGGTACTTGGCTGTTGTTATCCTGGGACCTGGTACCACATGCCCATGGCCTGCTTGCTTCAGAATGTCAAGGCCTGGTACTTTTCCGGTGTGTTGCTGCTTGGGTCTGTGAGTCACGACTTTTCACCTGTGGCACATGGCTTTTGACTGTGGGATGTGGACTCTTGCCTCTGGGACACAACTTTTGCCTGGAGAAGTGTCCTTTGCCTGTGGGATATGACTTTTCAATATGAGACGTGACTTTTGCTTATAGAACGCAACCTTTGCCTCTGGGATGTGACTGTTCACCGGGTGCCTATTAGACTTGACTCCTAAGGTACCCGACTGTGACCTTTCTGAACTGGCCGACTTGGCCTCCCTTGGCCTGAGACCTTGACCCTGAA